CCTCTCAAAAATAATGTGCACACATTTAAGTCAGTTAATCTGTGTTGTTAACTCAGCTAATTTAACTAAGTTCTGTTGGTATTTTTGTTGAATGCATACAATGATAGATTTTAACTGATGAATAATAATATGGATTGATACATTTTAAACCAGGTAGATTACAGAACATTTTTAAAATGTGCTCATAACACAATACAAGCAACAACGACAGCAGGTAAAAATGTTAAATAAATGCAAGTTTGTGAAGGTAATGATGAAAAAGAGATGTATTTTGTTTTGAATGACCATCAACTCAAGCCTGGGCCTGGACTGTGGACCAATCAGGAGTAATAAAGACCAATTTCAGTATGTCTTGGCATTTTTAATGGCCTCTGAAGCTGCTGTTTGTCATCAATAACAACTGTCATTGATTTCCACTGACCAAAATGTCCAAATTTGGCCTTACAAACTTGTTAAAAATTTTTCGTGGTGCTTTGATTTCACTCATATTTTTCGTTTTTAAGGTAGTGGATTACCTGCAGAAAAAGTTTGCTGAACTGGGAAGCCCCAACAAAATGAAAGTGTGCATGGGCCACGGAGCCAAGGCCTGGGTCTCTGACTTCAACCACCCGCACTACATGGCTGGTCGAAAGGCCATGAAAACAGGTAGAATGGCTGAGACTGATAGAAATGTAGATGATTAAAGGATGAGTTCACTCAAAACACATACGCCCAGTGTCCAGATTACACCATGGCTTTAGGGGGAGCTGTATTTTTCAGGGATGGAAGGGTACTGTAGACTTGCAAGTGCATATAAGAATGTGCTGCCAACTGTACGTGCAAAAAATACTTAAGACAAGAAACAAATGTTTTAATTTAATTTCAAAATAATTCAAAGTTAAATGCCTCTCCACTGAGAAACAATAAATGGGATGTGGGTTCAGTGGGCCCACATGCATGGAAGGCCACAGCAGTAATAAACAGCATTGTGTTAATTGGACACAAATTAGCAGAAATTGCTGCATGTGAATAAACACAAACGTTGGAAAGTGCTTTACTATTAGCCTATTATTTCTTTCACAAACCTAAATATAAAGGAAAATATAAAACCTAGTGGCACCAAAAATTACGATAGCCTACTTTAGAGCCCCCCTAAATATCTCAAATTTCTCGAATGATGATTCACTCACCGCTCTTACCATGTTCTCCCCTTCCTTGCTGTGCTATATGTAGTCTTTGGCGTGGAGCCTGACCTGACTCGTGAGGGTGGAAGCATCCCCGTCACGCTGACCTTTCAGGAGGCCACAGGACGTAACGTCATGCTGCTCCCTGTAGGATCCTCTGATGATGGAGCTCACTCCCAGAATGAAAAGATCAACAGGTATGTCACAGTTTACGACTTAATTTCCTTATTTCCATTTTTACCTGAATCACTGTGATTGTCATAATTGAAGATGAGATGCGACAACTTTAATTCTTTACCAGTGATCTTTACGAAAACCACAACTATTCATAGATTCAAGCTCATCGCTGTTTTTATCTTTTCATTTTCAGAACCAACTACATTCAGGGAATCAAGATGCTTGGTGCATACTTCCATGAGGTTTCCCAGCTGGAATAAAGTGATGTCTCATTTTGAAAATCCAAATCCATCCTCACTGTCAGAGCCATAGCTTTTGTGGTATCATTTACTTTTATATACAGTGCCTCCCAAAAATAAAAATGTTTTCCTTTTGTTGTCCTGTTTTATTAATGCCTCAATAGGTGGCTGTTGCTGTAATACACTACATCAGTTATCAACTTATTATAATGTCATCACTGTATTTTCTGTTAGTCTGCTTACTGTGGCTAGTGAAGAGTGATTGAGCAGGTGTTAAATGTGCTCATGGCCTCAGTGACAATAGGCTGATAAAAACATCTATGTACAGTCTGCTCTATACTAAGTAGGGGCCCATCTCTTGTAAAACCACCAGTACAACCAGTTGCATGCAAAACTAAAACCCACTTACTATATACAGCAGTCCACTCTACAGATTTTTCTGCCCAGTCCAAAGTGAACTGAAAAAGGAAATTATTATAACGTAACAAAGCAGGATATAGGATCTTTAAATTTTAAAATCAAAAGCTAAAACGTGATGTCTCTTTACCAGTGAAGTACTGAGATACTTTAATTAAGTAAAAGTACAAGCATATAAAAATACATGTCAATTACATGTAAAATTATTTGATTTGTTGAAGTACAAAAGTTTTATCAGGAAAAAGTATCAAAAGTAAAATACCTCCTGCAGAAAAATGTCCTATATGACTGATATTATTAGATCTACATTCTGAACTAGATTGTTCATCCTGATGCATCAATGTGTAAGCAACATTTCACAGTTGCAGGAGGTTGAGGAGCTAATTTGAACTACTTTGTACTGTCTACAGTTTAGTCCAGTGATTTCCAACATAGGGGCTGCTGGGCCTCTTCAACGTATTGCAAGATAAATCAGAGGGGTTGTGAGATGAGTATTGGGAGAGGAAAGAAGAAAAATAAAGTTCTGCTACACGAATTGATATTGGGTGTTCCTCTAATTTGTGCTGTATTTTGCCAAATATAGAAGACTTTCAACTATTGAAGCCTTGAACAATTGTTTAAATGAAACCATCTGTGTAGCTGGCAGAACTAATAGTTTGTAGAAAATGTATCTTCGGTGTAAATTATAACAAACTTATGGACAAGGGGCCACAGCTGCTTTTTTTTGTTAGTGGTCACAAGCAAAAAAATAGGTTGGGAAACAGTTTATTGTTTTAACAAAGCAATTTGTAAGCTTATATGTGTTTTTGTGTAAACTTTTGAGAAGCTAGTAACTAGAGCTGTCAAATAAATGTAGTGCAGTAAAAAGTACAACTTTCCCCTCTGAAATGTATTAGTATAAAGCAGGATACAATGGAAATGCTCAAGTAAAGTACAAGTACCTCAAAATTGTACCTAAGTTCAGTACTTGAGTAAATGTAGTTAAATTAATTTCCACCTCTGAACTTTATTAGGGATCCAAGCAGCAAAGCTGCTGGAGCCATTTTGATTTTGTTCTGATTCTTCTTCTAATTCTTCTTTCTTTCTAATTTTTCTTTGCAAAAAGTGTTTGTGCTGGAGGAATGAAAGAATTTTGATAATTTGCTGGATGGATTAGTATGAAATTCAGTTTGTACGATCTTGGCTATGTATAAAATTTGGTAATGATTGCGCAGTGGGCGTGGCTTATTAAAAGAAATGTATGTTTCATTCATTCATTCCTAACTTCAAAAAATCTAAGAAAATCATCCGTGTGTCCTAGAGTGCTGAAATGTTTTCAGCACATCCACTGATTTGTGACTAACGTTAGCCTCACTGTAACCACTGGCTTTATGGCCAATTCAGCACTCTATATTTTTCAGAATATGCTAATTCAATTAACATCTGTATCTCCACAAGTCTTTCTTCAAACGCTACCAAACTTGACAGAGTTGTTCTCCAGATGGCCGATATCAAGTGTTTTAAAGGGTTTTCAGATCGGTCAAACGGGGAGTCTGCAGTGATATTCAGTATCTTGTCATAACTTGTACAATATGAACATTTTCTTTTTAAATCAGTTTTGGATCAAATGCCACCAAAATAAATAACAACACACCCAAAACCGGCAGAATGGTGTGTGATTTTTTTCTTCTTGAACATCTTCAACATCTTGACAGTTGTAAGCGTTTTAAGTTTTAATTGACAAAACTACCCGGGGCTGGCACGTGTGACGTCACTACTTCCACTTGTGAGAAGATGTACGGCGTCTCTCACCAGTAGCTCAGTCAGTAAGTCACCTACTTTGGAGACCTGTTGGTATAGGGTTCAAATCCCCAGGTGACCTGGGCAGAGTTGCTGACAATGGGGATGTTGAGATCATAGTAGTTCTCTATTTTATTTGGATCCTGTGACACTTTAGTTTTATTTTTCTCTGCTTAAAAGTGTGCAGCTTAAACTTCAAATCTTGGAAACACAAAATGTCACAGGTGGGTTGAACATTTCACCCAGTAGTCAACATATGACACTCTCTGATTTTAAGGTGATAATGAAAAAATCAAGTTTGCATTTCCGCAATTATATCAAAGTCCAAATCTCTTAAGTCATCTGTGTCTGTTCTTCTCCTCTGAAAATATCCAATGTTGTGTTTTTTGTGACTGGTTTGGATCCCGATCATTGCTGCTCGCGGCTATATTTATAATATATATTTTTTTAAATCAACTTTATTGGCCAGATACACATTATTCTTATACACAGTACCATGCATGCTGAATTTGTTCTCTGCATTTAACCTTAACCCATCCTAATTAGGAGCAGTGGACCGCGTTGCAGCACCTGGGGAGCAGTAAGAAGTTCAGGGCCCGTTTCTGCTTTTATTTGTTTCATTACAGAAAGTGTATGAAACCCATGACCAAACATACATAAATTTGGTCATTGTGTTCTCTATGGATGGAATTACAGTGAAAATAAATGATTCCCCTTTTTGTTGGGGACTCCCTTAAGCACCCCTGGGGGTCCCCAAACCCCCCTTTGAGAACCACTGGTATACTGTATGTCTTTTTAATTGCATGACATTGATGTAGGATTGTATATGGTGGCAGGTTAAACACCCCATGTTTTGACAAAGGCTGTATCTCTATTTGTACAGCCCATAAGCTATTCCATCATATTATGAGTGGAAAAGAAAATTTGAGACTTTATTGCATAGCTTTATTGTCGTCCCGGTCCCTTTAAGAAGGACGCAGAATCTGTGTGGCGCCTGGAGGAAGTGATGCTTAGAGTAAGTAAACTTCAACGGATTAATTAGAAATGTTTAGATATTAACTATCACACACACTATTAAATCTCTATAGTCTTTATATTCTCATCGTTCATAATTTTTTTTGTTGTGACTTACATCAGTGTAAAAACAGAAAGCTTTGTTTCGTGATACTGGGGGATAGAAGAAGTAACCTGGCAACACAAGCTGTCATTTTCCGGCGCGGGAAAATCGTAAACAACACACAGCGGAAGAAAGCCCTTTAACGCAGTTTTCATATGTAAGCTTCTGCTTAAGTTGCTATAACTTTCATTAGAGGCGAACAAGCGAAAGTAACTCACGTTCACTAAAACCTATAACGTTTTCGCTGACAAATTCTGAAAATAGCAATAACTTTGGGTTTATAACGTAACGTTAAGCTAGCTATCGTGTTGCTGTAACGTTAGCTTTCGCCTGACATTCATTATGCTCTAAGTTAACGTTATGCAATAAATGAGAGTTAAACAACCTGTCAGGTAAGTTAAGTTAAGCGGTGTCGACCGTGTAGTCAGCGCTACAATGGATCGCTACAACGAGGTGAAGCTTCTGCTGAAAAGCTGGGAGCAGGGGTTTGTCAAACAGCACCAGAAGAAACCAAACAAGGTGATTTAAACGCTAAACTTAACTTAAGCCGAGAGTTAATTTAGCAGGCAGCAGCATAACGGCAACCCAATGCTTTGATCTACAATAATAATATATATATGCATAACGTGTGTTATTTATTGTTGTGGTTTCATCATTGTTCTGTGTTTCCACCAGACTTGCCACTTAACGTTACTGCTGCAGACAATGTCGTTGTCTGTTTGTTTCACTTTTTTAATAATGGTTAGATATTATAACGCTATTTCATTTCTAGGAGGACATTGATCAGGCTCCAGAGGAGACGAGGAGTGAGTAACATTACAATCCCTTTACTGAAATTGCAACAATTTTTTCTCCGATCCGATTTTACCAGCCAATTACATATTTTTTTCCTGCGTTTGCTAATTTTGTGCCCTGGATGCAACACAGATAAACACTAGCATATCTAGTGCATCTCTAGTGTAAATTATGTGTTTACAGACAGAAGCATATTCCATGTGTGTCTTTATTCCAGAGCTGTATAAAGAGTACCGCAGTTTGAAACAAGCCAAGGAAAACACCAGCCGTGATGCAGCCAGCGGACACACTGAACAGTCCATATCTGCAGCTGAGGTCAACACCACCCAGAAGGTACTGAAGAAAGTGTGTTTGCAGACAACAGACAAGTAAAACAGTTTGTTTCCTTTGTCTACTATACCTCTTGTCTTCTTACGTAGGAGTCGGACTGTTGGGGAGCCCATCTGAACCGCAGTGCACAGCCTGCATCTTCTCCCAGACTGACACCCCAGGAGAGAGACAGTCTGCAGGCCTCTGCCCAATACTATGGCCTAAAGCTTAAAAACAACCTGGCTACACTCAGTAAGGTGAGACCTTCTCTGACCAAACTGTACATTTAAAAACAGCGATTTCTTTGGTTTTATTACTAGTGCTGTGATTTCCTTTTGTTATCCCAGGAGAGACCTATCTCACTGAAGAAATCGTTTGTTCCCTGTCGAGTGCCTCTAAACTCCTTGAAAGATGGACAAACTTACCAGACAAATAGCCCCTTTGCTGCGGCTACTAAGACCACTTCCAGTGACCCTGAATCCAGCCCTTTCTCACCAAGGTAATTAAATGGAAGAAATTATTTTAATTTAATTAAATTGTATGTATATAGCACCAGTACATAACAGAAGTTATCTCATTACACTTTTCATATACAGCAGATCTAGACTGTACTCTTTGTAATATTATTTACAGAGACCCAACAATTCCCACCATGAGAAAGCACTTGGTGATAGTGGCAAGGAAAAACTCCCCTTTAACAGGCGGGAAACCTTGAGCATTGTAATGTAATGTAAAGCTGCATATTGCGTCAGTGCATTATATACTGGTACATCTCTAAAAGAAAATTTGTTGAACATTGCAATTAGGTATGCAACTAACAATTATTGTCAGTATCGAATAATCTCAGAAGAGAACCAAGAGTGTGCACATCCAGGCAAAAATCATCAGATCAGGTGTTATGTTTTGAATTTAAAGAAGAGCTTGTAGATTGAAACGTGGCCTTGAAAAGATAATTCAACTATTTATTCGGAGCCTATGGGTATGCAGACCTTTCTCCTTTGTGCCCTGCAGTATCAAATAATATCTGATTACTTTGTTGATTAATTGTGTAGTCTATGAGATCTCATACAATATATTCCAGAGTCCAAGGTAACGTCTTCATATGTCAAGGCGCAATGTTTGAAGATGTTCAGTTTACAAAGATATAGAACAGAGAAATTCAGAAAAGACTCACATTGGAGAAGTAACATCAGAAGATGATTAATTGATTATCAAAATAGTTGCTTATTATTTTTCTGTAGATTGATTAATACGTTGTACTTGTGATATTATTTGCTATATAGTATGCAGGCACAGATTTTTCAACATTTTTGATTTTTCAGCAACCATTTTCAATAGATTGCTAGATGTTTGGTTTTTATTTGCTTCATAGGTCCTAATATTGCAGTTTTATAATTTCCTGTCCTCTTATTTTAAATGACTTGTGTAGCCCAACTACGTACACAATATTTAATTGTAATTCATGCTCTTTATCAACACTGGCAAATGTTTTGTGTGACATTTTCTTGTGTATGTGTTCCTGTTCACAGAAGAGTAAAGACTTGCCTGGGACTTTCTTCAAAGACACTCCAACCAGTGGAGGCTGAAGAGCCATTTGAGCCATTTGTCAGAGAGTCTTGCGAAGAACATGCAAGTGCTGCCAGTAGTATTAGTAGTTATAATAGCAGTAAGGGTAGTACTAGTAAAGTTATTAGTTCACAAAATCAAAGTGTCTCTAGTCTAGCTTCCTCTCCAGCCAGATCTTCTGCTCTGTTGTCGTCGTTATCTTCTCCATGTAGTGTAGGACCTTCAAGAAGAGATTTAGGAGCCATAGGAAAGTTAAATGAAGACATAGGAGCTTCAGGAGATGGGGAAGAAAATGTTGCAACATTAGGAACTGCACATGGGGGTATTGGTTCTGCAGTTGTTGGAACTTTGACTGGCTTGAGAGGAAGCCCAAAGTGTCTTGGAGGTTTCAGAGAAGGGATGGGAGGTGGAGGCACGGGAGGGAAACCCTCCCCTGCCAGCAGACTGAGTTTTATTGACACAAAGTGGCTAGAGAGGTGCCAGGTGTTTGGAGAGATGGGGGCTGAGCTGAGACCTGGAGCAGGAAACCAGGAGATAGATTTGGAGAAAAGAGGAGAGAGAGAAAGGACAAAAGAAACAGAAGGAAAAATACAAGAAGATGAAAGAGTTAGAAAAGAAGAAATGGATGCAGAGGGAGAAAGAAGAGAGGCAGACTCAGGAAGAGATAAAGTGATTAAAAGCAGTACTAGAGATAAAATAGTCAGCAATAGTACAACGAAACCTGCTCTAGAACACAATGCAACAAGCAAAGGAGGAGGGGGAGAAAAAGTGAAAATGAAGGGAGGTGGGGAGATTGAAGGAGGCTGGACACCGCCTTTATCGCCAGAAGACGACAATGAGACTAGTCACATATCCAAAGGTACAAAGAAGAGAGGGAGGAAAAGGCAGAGAGAGGGTGAGAATGTGGAGGGAGAGACGCCAGAGGAGGGAGGAGTGAAGAAGAGGCGTAGGAATGCCAAAAAGAAAGAGGACAGCTCTGATGTAAAGCCCAGCCCAGCTCAAGGAGGAAAGAGAAGGAGAGCAAAGAAAAAGGGAGATGAAGAGGAAGAAGAGAAAGAAACCAAGGTACCGAAAAAGGTAAGTCACTTATTTGTTATCTCTGCATACTTTGTTTAATCTATTTGTGTAAATGAGTAATTTCAGTATTATTCCTGTCAAGGTTCCCCAGGAGAACCTGTTAGGAGAAATAGAGGAGGAATTTGGAACTAAGAGAATGTGTCACACTCAGTCTGCCAGAGCCAGGTAAGATCATACAATGCAAAATGGTGTTTAAACATCTGTGTTTGTAGTCTGTGTACCAACAATTCTTTATATGTACAGAGGTATGAAAGGCCCAGAGGGCAACTTTGTGAAGATAAATCTGAAGAAGAAATCTCATGTCAAAGGGTATGCACTGAGAGGTGTTGGTCTACGCAAACAGGTAAGATTTCTGTATGTGTGTTAGTGAGTGCATGCTGGATTTGTTTTACACAATAATGTGTCTAGGACTAATCCCTAGTGTCAAAACATTAAAGGTAAAACTGAAAATGCTGCCCTTGACGAAAGTTCAGGGTGAAGGAACTAAATTCTAAAACAAACTTGTTTGTTTGGCAATTCCTTGCCAACCTTCATGAATCAGCTTTGAAAAAATGAATATACAAAACCTGTCGACAATATCTAAGAATGGATGTATTTGTGTGCCTTTGTCCCAGGGTTTTAGAATATGATAATACAAAATGTATCCAGAGTTATTAAAATGTGTGTTTCACTGTTGTCACACATCTGTGTGTGTGTGTGTGTGTGTGTGTGTGTGTGTGTGTGTGTGTGTGTGTGTGTGTGTGTGTGTGTGTGTGTTTTAGTTGTACATGCAGAAGTTCCAGCTAAAAGGTGAACGTTTTGGGGGAGGTGGTGGATACTTTGGCAGAGGAAGGAGGGGTGGATTCAGAGGGGGTTTTAATCGCCAGGGTGACACCTGCTACAAGTGTGGAGGGACCGGACACTGGGCCCTAGACTGCAAGGGACGAGGTAATACAATGCACAAATAAAGGATTGTTTCATTTGCTTGGGAGTTTCTTTGAACAGGACTGTAAGTATCACCTCTGAGTTGTTTGTATAATAAACAACAAATACCTCTGAACCCTTTTTTGCAGCACCTCCCCCTCCTGTTCCTGACGACCCGCCTGCGGAAGAGGAGCCGTTTGAACTGCCAACTCTGGAGGAGGTAGCCAGGGCGACAGGAACACTGCAGCCTCAGCCGCTGGGTACGCCTGTTGAACAGCCTGTTGTGAGCATGCTGCTTTTCCCCTATCTGTAATGTAGCTTTTCAGGTATGTCTGTTCATTAAACAAATATGTGTGCAGTCCCCTCAAGAATTAGTGACAGCAATCTTCAATGCAACTTAAATCAACGACAAAATATTCACATAAACAATGTTGTAGAGTTACATCAACATGTTGTATAAAAAGAAGATTGGTGACTTTGGCTAGTTATCAAATTTTTTTTGTCATAAAATGGACAATTTGAACAATATGTCAACACAGTTGGTCTTTTCATGTTACATCTAACAAGTACAGTGGAGGTTTAGAGACGGGGGCGCATTTTCATTAAATAAAATACAATTTGTATCACTTTAGTGTCCTCTAAATTGCGGTCTTGCAAAAATCAATAGTTTGAGAGAATGTGCTGAAAAAAATCAGCAACTATTAGTTGCAGCACCACAGATGTATAGTTTATTTGCCTTGCGTGTGTTTAAATCCTGATGTGTTTGTGTGTTTCAGTGGCATCTCACAGTATCGATGAGGAGCAGCCGTACCAAGGAAAGGACGTGGACAGTCACCATAAAGACGAGGTGCTGCTGAATGTGATTCGCCCTGACTATGAGCGCCCTGCTCCTCCACCACCGATGGAACCTCTTTATCATCTCAAAGAAGATGGAAAAGTGCAGGGTAAACATTTACTGTGTTCCTTACATTGGAATAAAAAACAGACATACTGTACATTTGTTTAAAAGTTTACATTTTGTTTGTGTTTAGCAACACCTGCTGAGGTTTATGCCGCTCTGACAGACCTTGGCTATCAGTCATTTAGACCAGGACAAGAGGAAGCTATCATGAGGATCCTGTCAGGTATGTTCATTACACACAACACACATCTACATCTATAATCTCTGTATTCACGTTTGTCTCCGTCTCTCACTTGTTCTTTAGGTCTCTCTACCCTTGTAGTGTTGTCAACAGGGATGGGTAAATCGCTGTGCTATCAGCTCCCAGCGTACCTGTACGCTCAGCGATCAACATGCATCACTTTGGTCATTTCACCTCTAGTCTCACTAATGGATGACCAGGTAATTTTGCTTTATTGGCATGAATGTATAACTACAATATTGCCAAAGCTACAAATAAATTACACAAGAACAATTAATTTCATAAATTTCTCTCTCTCACAAAAAGACTGCACACATCAGCCACCATTTGGCCATCGCTTAACAGTGCCACACTTTGAACAGTGCCGCAGTTACATTTTTGTGTGTGTGTGTGTGTGTGTGTGTGTAGCTGTCTGGGCTGCCAGCCAACCTGAAGGCAGCCTGCATCCACTCCAACATGACGATGAAACAGAGAGAAGCTGCAATAGAAAAGGTAACAGACACAATAGGAGTCTCCACAGTAAAGAGCAGCAAGACTTCAGAATCCAAAGCCATCTCACACTTTTCATAACCTCTCATTCATCTATAGATTTAATTTAAAAATCACAAAAAGCTCCCTAACCTAGTCATGTATGATTCCCTTTTTCTGTAAATTGGATAGATGTATTTTGATAGAACACTAATGCAGATTAAACCAAAGATAAATCTTGAAGCTTGAACTTAAACTATCTAGTCAGCAGGATTTTCATCCTTCAATGCTCACCTTCCTCTGTTTCTCCAGGTGAAGTCAGGCCAGGTGTGTGTGCTGCTCCTCTCTCCAGAGGCTCTGGTTGGCGGCGGCGGTTCAGGTTCAGGGTGTCTGCCCTCTGCTCAGGAGCTCCCTCCTGTGGCCTTTGCCTGTATAGACGAAGCTCATTGTGTCTCAGAGTGGTCACACAACTTCAGACCGTGCTACCTCAGACTCTGTAAGGTGGGTTAGTGATTTTATCTTGGACTAAACAAATAACATCTGAATGTGACAATACAATATTGTTGTATAAACTGATATGCTAGATAAATATGTGATTTATATTTTTGTAGGTACTAAGGGAGCGTTTAGGAGTGCAGTGTTTGCTGGGACTCACTGCTACAGCCACACTGTCCACTGCTCTGGACATCGCGCGTCACCTGGACATCACTGATCAAGAAGGCATCGCAGTACGATCTGCAGCAGTGCCTCCTAACCTGCATCTGTCTGTGTCCATGGATAGAGAAAAGGATCAGGTATGATAAGTACCAAGTTGACCCACAGTTGAAATTATGCTGGGTCTAAATGTTCCAGTGAACAAAAGCATTTTCAAGACCTCTGTATAATAATATATATAATGGGTTGTAGGTGTATGTAGCGGCAAGTTTTACAGCGGTGTTCTGCAAATGTATATATGCCACCTGCTTGAAACATTTGTATGTTTCTCTTTATAATTCTCTCTGTTTCTTCTGCCTTTTATCTTTTTAGGCTTTAGTATCCTTGTTGAAAGGCGATCGTTTTGGTTGTCTGGACTCCGTCATCGTCTACTGCACCAGAAGAGAGGAGACCACTCGTGTGGCAGCACTGCTCAGGACTTGCCTACAGGGGGTGCTGGTGAAGGAAAACAAACAAACCAACAGCTGCAGTCAGGCACAAAACAACCCTGTTGGACAGAGAAAGAAAGAGCTGGGTAAGTGTGGAATTTTGATTAATTATATAAGAGTTTATTTTTCTAAAACATGTTAGGGGAAGGTGTAAAATGACTACATCAGACATGCCTGGTTTAAAACTAGACCAACTAAACCATTTACTTCATTTGATATTTTAACTTCTCTCTCTTTAACTCAGTGTCTAGTGTTTTCACACTACCCTGTGTTTCTACATTTAGCAAGGAAGAAGATTCGTAAACCTCTGAAATGGCAGGCAGAGTCCTACCACGCTGGTTTGTCTGCTTCAGAGCGCCGTCGTGTCCAGAACAACTTCATGTGCGGCGAGCTCAGAATAGTTGTGGCCACTGTGGCGTTTGGCATGGGCCTCGATAAATCTGATGTCCGTGGTATCGTCCACTACAACATGCCTAAAGTGGGTAGTGGTCTAATTTATCTAAAGCAAAAGCTCTTTAAACTTTGTAACCAGCTTGAAACACAATGCTCCTTCATTCTGACTCATTGTGCAACTGAGAAAGTTTTACATGTAATCTGCAACTGTGTCAGGTTGGATAACATTAGTCTTTTTTGTAAACAAGAGCATAGATGAAGCATTTGAAAATACTATTTTACCACAAGGTCCATTTAGCAATTTTTCTGGAGCTTTCAGTCTTATTCCATAGAGAGAAATTTTGCCCAATTATCATGGTAGAATACTTGTTTTCTATCCATTAACAATGTGAAAATACCCAAAAGATACTGTTTAGAAAATATATAATATATATATCTTAAACCCACAATTTATATGCATTGCCTTACCAGTAAATGTTTTCCCAGAGCTTTGAGAGTTACGTTCAGGAGATTGGGAGGGCAGGAAGAGATGGAGAACCAGCACACTGTCACCTCTTTCTGGACCCTGAGGTAAAACTGTAACACTTTAGGAAATGAGTTAGCTTCTTGACACTCTGAAACACTCAATGTAGTTATTTTGCAGTTTCAGTGATGTAAAGCATGCATGGAATAACTTTAGAGAATACAGTCTTTATGTTTTATATTGTATTAGTTCTATTCCTCAAAAGTTACTAAAGTTTTCATAACAGAAATGTATTAATATATAATAATACACTGGTGGCAGAGGGAGAATTACATCTGTCCTTGTTTACACCCGAATTCTCGACTGCTGCCTGTTTCTGTCTTTGTTCTGGTGGTCTTCTTGGTGCTGTCACCTACACAGTATAAATTAAGTGTGTGTGTGTGTGTGTGTGTAGGGTGTTGACCTCCATGAGCTCCGTCGTCATATTTATGCAGACACAGTGGACTACTACATAGTAAAGAAACTGGTCCAGAAAGTTTTCCCTCCGTGCAAATGTAAACAGATACACCAGAAACAACAGGATCTTGTAAAGGTAACTCTACCCATGTGTGTGTATGTGTTTGTGTGGTCTAAATGCTGTTTCAACGATTAGCTTTGAGACAATGGGATTTTAACTAAAAACTAAAACTTTCCACTAAGTAAAAATTGTCTGTGTGTGAAGGATGTTGAAGATTCAGAGCTGCTGGAAATGATGGATGTGATGTGTAATCAGGAGAGCAGCCTGAACCCTCCTGCTCAGCCGAACAGAGTGCATACAGACATACCTGTACAGTCTACTGCACAGGTAATTAACAGGGAAAATGGTCTTTAATATCTTTTTCTCTTACTACTTGCTCAACTCTACTCTTTCACCCACTAAAATGCAGTTAACACTGAAGCAAATTGAAAAAATGAAGTTTATAAACAATGTGTGGTTGATGAGTTATTGTTTATTTTAGTTATTTGTAAAGGAAACCAGAATTTGAGAAAATGTGTGATGTGAACTGTTTCACTGAAAGGAGACGTCACATACCGATGCAGCGGGGCTACCCCTCCAAGAACATAAAGATGAAGGAAAAGAAAAGCAGGAGGAGAAGAAAGAGGAGCAGACAGTTGAACACAAGGAAGCTGATGGTTCGACGAAGCACAAGGATATGGGAGTGAAAGGAGCTGGTGATTGGCTTAGGGAGCAGGAGGAGGAGAACAGTGATTGGCCCACAGAGCGAGTGTGTCACACACACGAAAGAGCAATTCCCATCCAACAAACTGTTGAGACTCTGGACATCACAGAGGAAGGTGAGTGGACACACAAATACATTTGTTGATAAATAGATAGATAGGTAAGTGGGAGTACAGGTACACATAGCAGGCACATGTGGGAACATAAGATGTTTAGCTTTACCATCAGAATAAAGTACAATTTGGCAGCTATGGTGCTTCAAATGCAGTAAATCCAGTAAAAACAACAATTATAGGAGAAGAAATAAATAGAAACACTATGAAACATAATGTTTGTCTTGTGTATTGTATTGTACTGTAGCCTACTATTTCTTTTATAGTTTTTATTATGTTATCTTTTTTTGTTTTTATTATGTCCTTTTTTGTACTCCCATGTACTGACCACGGACTACAGATAAAAAAAAATAACCTTCTGGCTAAATCTGGCATATTTACATTGATGTCAGCAGAAATGTTTATTAATGTGCACTATCCCTTTTTAAAATAAATAAACAACTATGAAAAAAACAAGTAAACCAAAACCAAACAGTTCCCTTTCTCTTTCTGTCTTTGCGTGTCTGTGTATTTTAGGTGTAGAGACGCTACTCTGCTACCTGGAGCTGCACCCCCAGCGCTTTGTGGAACTTCTCCACCCCACACTGTCCGTGTGTAACATCAGCTGCTACGATGGACCAAGACAACTCCAGAAAATAACTAAAATGTATGAAAGATCTGCCATTCTTTAGGATATTCTAATACAAGGCACAGAAAAAGCTACATAAATAACTTTATTGTCCTCAAGGGGTAATTCATTTTCACAGCACTGTACACATCAGACAACTACAGCACACAGTAACAACATACAATGACAGACACCAATATACACTCAGGCCAGTTCAGCAAGGCCTTTTATTTAAGGTGGCTACGGCTGAAGGGATCGGGCTTTTCCCAAAGCGAGCCATCCTGCACCACTGTGCTCTGTACCTGCGCCCAGTCGGGTAAGATGGTTCGTTGAGTGAGTGTGTGATGTCCTGTGCTGTTGAGGTTGTAATGGCCGTAATGCTTAGTTCTGCTAGGTTAGATGTGCGGAGACCAATTGTCTTGAAGAGGTTTTTGATATGTGTGTAAGTTTGACTCAGTTAGTAACATAGCATGTTAAAGAAGCAGGTGGAACAGAACAATAGGATGGGCTGAATAATGCTTTGATATTGTGCCACCTTGCACCCTGTGTGCATGAATGTGTTTATTTTTATAATAAAGTATAGACAATATAGACGTGCTGACCATTACAAATGCAATTTGATCAGTTTTATCTTATCATATCTTATCTTCTTCTTCAACTTGTTTTTCCACAGTTGCCCTCCAGTTGCTGTGGTGTTGGCTAGAAGGCGAATGGCAGGTGAGCGAGTGGAGACATGCGATCAACTGGAGTTTGATGTTGTCGAGGTTGCGGACACTATGGGATGGCAGCTTCCTCTTGTAAAGAGAGGACTCAGACAGCTGCAGTGGAGCACTGGTAGAGGTATGTGCATGCATTAATGAAAAAACTTGCTTGGAACAGCTTTAACTCGTTTACTGACATCTCTAGCCAATACATTTTTTTTTTATTGTCTTTGGAGCAGTTTTCTTCCTCCTTTTGTCCTTTATGTTGCTTCACTAGTCTGAAAAATATTTTAATCCTAGTCGAAACGTGTTTATATAGTAAACTGTTGTATTTCCCCCCGGTGTAGATGTGATTTGCAGAATAAAAAATTCACACCAAAAAGTATCCACACAGACACACAAGCAAAACACAGATGGTGCTGTTTAAATGAAATCATGTCAGATGTAAAAGTGCAAACAAAGAAGAGCTCTGAAGTTAATCACACCGGGGTGGCCCTCGTAGAGTCTGATAAATAATCCTAAACATTTGTGTTTCAGCTGGCGGTCGGAGCGGTGTCCAGGTTGAATTCTCCTCTTTATCTTTCTACTTCCGTTCCTATGGCGACCTCAGCGATGAGGAGATGGACAGAGTTTGTCAGTTCCTCCATAATCGAGTGCAGAACCAAGAGAGAACACAGCTGTACCAGCTGACAGCCTGCTTCAAGGCCTTCAAGAGGTACACACACTCACATACAGTAAAGCTTTGACACCTTAAACTTTTTAAAAAGCCAGCAGAGATGATAGAGAGTCCTGCAAAATGTCTGTAAAAATAGTTGATCAGCATCCAAAGTGCAGTGAAATAGTATAAAATGGTTATGTAGACTGATTGTTTGTGTGAGCAGGTGTGTCTGACTCTTTCTGTTTGTTCCTTTTGTGCAACTTTATGTGTGTTGTCTTCTGCCTGTCTGTATGCTTGTCTGCATAACGTTGTGTTGTGTTTTGTTGCAGTGTTGCATTCCCCAGTGTATTGTCCTGTGTTGACGATTTGGATGAGAGTCGCAGTATCCACCTGAAAAGCCTCCTCTCCGAGTATTTCGACAAAAGGCGAGGCCGAGGCCACACACTCGCACCAGTGGACATTGAGGAGCTCGACAAATACAAGGTAAAACACACAGGATGGTAATCAATTTGTGTCTTGAATGGTCTGGATAATGTAGTTTACTTATGTGTTTCTGTCTGTTTGTAGTTGTCAGACTGGGAGAGTCAGATCACAGCGGACATCAGAAGTTTTCTTGCCAACCGAAGTGATGAGAAATTTTCTGGAAGGGCTATTGCTAGAATTTTGCATGGCATAGGTGAGAGCACACAAACACACATCTGTTGAAGGTTCCTAAAAAATATACAAGCATATAAGTAAGTATCCATTAAGATGAGATAAGATAATCCTTTATTGATACCCAGATGGGAAATCAGGTGTTGCAGCAGCACAAGGACAAAAATAAGTACAGATAAATAGTTGTGTGTGTGTATACATAAATTAGATGGAAATAAAAATCGAAACTATACAAGAGCAATTAAAGTCAAAGTTACAAGGCAAGCAGTATACATAAATAAAGTAGGACCAGTGTTGTAGTTAAACTAACAGTGCAGTACTGTCTCAAGCAAAGTGACATAATGGTCTGATTAGTAGCAGCAATGTCAGTATGGTTTATGTATAGTAATATGAACATGACCTCTAGAGGGAGTTATAGTTTCAGTGAATACATTCTGAGCTTGACAGTGTTTAACCTTTCTAAAGCTGAGTTCTGATTGTTAGCAGTTAACTATTATTACTTTCATTCATGCAAGGAGAGCAATGCACTGTACTATCCAGATTCTTGCAAAGAAAAACGGGTGTGAAGTTACACCAGGTTGCCCCAGTGAGCCCCAGGTTCTGATTTAATCTGTAAATAAATAAATTGCCCTGAACCAGATTTTCTCTGTCTTGATAAAGAATGGTGGATTGTACAAAAACACAAGGGACAAAAATAGAAATAAATCCAGGACTTATCATTCTATCCTGGACAAAGTCCGATATGTTATATTTTTATCAATATATTAAAATGGTAATGAACCAAGATTTTTACCCAAAGTTTCAATAATCTGAGCCTGATATAAAGTTCAGTCATCAGCTGTGGATCAACATATGTGCTTCATTTAAGGCATATAAAAAGGTGAAAATCTCTGTTTCAGGCAGTCCTTGTTATCCTGCTCAAATCTATGGCAGAGACAGACGCTACTGGAGGAAGTACATCCAGTTTGACTTCAACCAGCTCATCAGACTGGCCACTCAGGAGATCATTCGCTTTAAGTGACCGACCAAACTGTATATGTACATACAGCGGCATGCACGTGCATAGGTCTGCACTCATGCACCATTTATTAACTCGCACTGGTTTTGATGGATTTGGCCAGAAACACCTGTTTTTGTTGACTTTTATTCTATCATGTAGAATTAGTTAATCTGTTTTCTTCAGCGTAAAGTTTGTATACGTCGTAGACTGTAATTAAATAAAATATTTGTATTTTTCTAGCTTGGTTTTGCTTTAACATTTATTGAAAATATCTCTAATGTCAAAAAAAAAATCTTTATGTCACATAGATGAAGAAATCTTATCTTGTCTTGTTTTGGTCCGTACACAAACACTCAAAAGTCCTGACCCAGAAGTGAACTGATATAAAGAAGTAAAAATGGAAGAATAAAAATGGGATTTTTCTTCATACTGTACCTTCCCATTTTAGCAACGTCACTGTTATCTTGAGAAGCTAAAGTTAAACATTTGATAAGATTGCAAATATTAACTTGTTTTGACTGGAATGTTGTGGGATTTTCTCACACCTTTTGTTACCTATTTACTCACCTTCAGCAGACGTGAATGATTTGAATTACAGACATTTAGACAGCAGGGTTTAATTGTGTCTCCTTACTGTAAAGATCAGTGGTGGAATAACTAATCAAATCCTTTTACTAAATTAAGCCCTGTTCTACAACTGCACACATTTGTTTCACTTATAATGTTACTGATTTTGGTGTAGAGTTTTGTAAAAATATTTTTCTAGTCAGAAAATTGAAAAGCAAGTAACAATGACAGCCCACTCTATAATATATTAGCTACAGTCAGCAGCAGCTTAGCTTACCATACAGACTGGAAATGGGGAAACGGCTAGCTGGTCTCTGTCCAAAGGTAACACAAGCTGCCTACCAGCTGCCTCCATGCTAAGCTAACCATCTCCTGGCTGCAGCTTCAATTACCGTACAGATATGAGAGTGGAATCGGTTTTCTCATCTAACTCTGGTCAAAGAAGCAAATAAGTGTACTTTCTAAAATGTCAAATTATTCTGAAGACCAGGACAGTTTTGCTTGAAATAATTGTCTCATGCAAATTATTCCAGCTAAAACATACTCTTCAGAATGAGGCAAATGAAACACAACTATGCTAACATCCAGTGGTGCTGCTGCAGCAGCCTGAGCTTTCTTCAGTGTGTTTTAACAGTGGACTCTGACTTTTACATATCTGCTTTTACGCTTGACAGCATGTCATAAAATGTGAAGAAATCTGCCTAATGAGCATAAATACACAGTCTTTGGCAGCAGACTGAGCTGTAGAGATGAAATAAAACATTCATGGTCATCTTTCCACCATCTATTAATTCAGTGGATATGTTATTTCTGCTTCACTCAGTGGTGAACATTGGAGTAGTCTGATAAATATTAGCTTCTCGGTGACAATACACATACTGAAGCTCTGTGGGAGAAACAGGAAAAAGAAAAACTGGGTCATGAAGTCAGGTTTTCTGAGAAAGGTTAGGTAAAGGTCAAGGACAATGGTCAATGCACAATCAACGGCCACTCCTGGGGAATGTTTATTCTTGAACAAGATGGTCACTTTGGCAGCAGCAGAGCAGATTAAGAAAAAGAAATGTGATAATGGGTTTGGTAAAGTAGAGCTGATCCCATATCTTTCCTGTAAACCCATCACAATAGGCCTTTTTGGAAGCAGACTTTTTGACTTGTCATAGAAAACACAAGTGTTACTGATAACAACAATGATGGCTCCCCTGTCCTAGTAAGGCATGACAGTGTGATAAGCCAGCATGCACAATACCACGACCCTGCAACTGGAGCAGCACATTAAAAATCGGGCATCATTCCTTTTATTTACATTTGTTACTTTTCTTACTGAAACCTCACATTTCAGTTCACATCAGTATTGTCTTGCTCAAGTGTGCTGTATTCCACATGTGCTTGATAGGCCTAAATGTGACTGATATTTATTTTTTTTATTTATTTTAGCAGTAATGAGCATTTTTTAAGACTTCTCAAGTGTACTTTGCTTTAAGACACACACACATGATCATTGTGGGGTAGTAACTAACTAATCAGATATGAAGTGATCACTACTTCAAGTTTATACTGAGGATATAATGTTCAGAGCTTTGTGACATTCAGTAAGAGCAAAATAACATTTACTCTCAGAGCAAGAATAGCGAAGATTACATTCAAAGCTTTAACAATATTTAAATAAGTTGGTGAAGTATGCAGGGACCTGTATTTCAAGAGAGAGAATGACTTTTGAACGATTTGTAGTAATTGCTCATTAGAGAGTGGACACCTTTCCAGATTAAAGTTTATTATGTTCTGACTGTGTTTATTATTTGTTAATTGTTAATAACTTGCTAATATGTTATTATTTGTGTTTACTTGTATTATGTCTAGAAAACATTTAATCAAGAGTAAGAGTTAGCTCTGTGGGGCTGTTAGCATGCTAACATTTAGCAGTCAACACGAACCACAGCTGAGGATGCAAGCAAGGTCATATGCTGTTGTCCTGTTCCCCTGCTAACACACTGTTATTCAGCTGACCATTTAAATACTTACAGTAACTGTTGTAACACTGACATTATCTCACCTTAATAACAGTCATTCACTGAAATGATGCAGCTGCTCCACCTTTGAAATGTTAGCTGTACTGCACAGCACCGTGTAGTTCAAAAGTTAAAGGGCTCTTGTTGGCCAGCACGTCATTTACTAGTCACGCGTGCCTCTATAACAATCTGTCACACTTCAGACTTTATAGTAGCAGTAGACGTCTGCCTTTATGTTTCATCCATAAAGAGTGAGGACTCCTTCTTTCATTTCAGTCTTTTATCTTTCTGCCACTGCATCATATGACTGCCTGATAACGTTCTTTGTGAAGTTCTTAAACTGCCAATCCTGCTATCCAGAGTTACAAGTTTCTCTGTCTTTCCCTTGTCTTTCTTCATTTTCTGTCTGTAAAGTCCGCCGGTGTCTACCAACCCTACTGTAAAAGTTGTATTATGCAGTACATGAGAAGCTCAAAGGTCCAGTTTTAGAGGTAATTATCAAGTGTTTTATTGGGGAGAGTAAGTTAAATGACTCCAGGGGCTCATAAAAACTCTGAAAATGTTCTGTAGAAGGAAATTTAATAAACATAAAAATGACGGATTGCTTTTATTGGAATGCTGTCTTAAGGGTAATCCACTTGTCCTCTGTCAGCAGCTACATGCTGTAATCTGCAATTTGTTTTTTTACAGCATGTGTTTAAAGGGATCAGTTCACAGCCTGGATGTTGTCATTAAATGGGTCATTTTGTCTGAGAAGACACTGGTCATGCTTGTAGCTACACACACAGCAGACTTGATTCACTGTAGATGTTCATATTAAGTCTCCCTCTGCGATGAGTTGTCAGTAGACTCTGTCCCTAACAAAGACGTTCATATAACTTGTAAATCGAGGAGATTAGATAAGAGAGATAAAGAGAGAGTCCAGTTTCACCTCTGGCTTCATTCACACCAAGATTACAAATTCCACAGTTGTGATCTGTCTTCAGGCGTTAATGCACAATATGAGATCAAATGCAAAAAAAAGGGTAAAGCCCGCCATTAAAAAGTCAGTTTAAGCCCCTGTTTCCTTTCCCAAACAGACAGGTTTTTTAATATGATGGCTAACACTTCTGTAGAAAACTGAATTTATGTTTTGAATGTTTTGTATTCTGAAAGGTTCGGTTAGACCAGATAAATCTGCAGAGGTGGCCACAAATGGGAATATCTTTTCAGCTATGATCAGTTTAGAATCACAAAATGTTTTTCATGAATTTGTCAAACTAGTGTTGTAGTATTCGAGACTGGTCTTGGTCTCGAGACCGGTCTTAAGACCAATTTTTGGTGGCATTTGTACTCGGTCTTGTCTCATTCTTTGAGGACTCCGGATTTAAATTCAAGACCAGTCAAGACCATAACTTTGGGAATATCAGTAAATTGCTTTTGCATTGTCTGATTTATTTGTTAACATTCTAACTTTGATTGGATGTAAAACTTATTGCTTCAAATGCAACCAATAACCCTAATTAAAAATGTGTTGTTCCCGTTAACGACTGTCAACCCTTCCCGCGATAGTAGGCATGGAAAAGGAGTGTTGAATAAAGATGCTTATATTGATTTTCATTCCACATTTTACTGTGTGTCATGGAATGTAGGGAACTGGTCTTGGTCTTGATTCGGTTTTGGTCTCCCTCGGTCTTGGTCTTGACTTGGTCTCAGCCCCTAAAAGTCTTGGTCTTGTCTCCGTCTCGATAAACTCTGGTCTTGGTCTTGACTTGGTCTCAGTTTTGGCAGTCTTGACTACAACACTATGTCAAACTCTTACACTACGATTACGGTCAACATCTCTGAAAAAAATAAGTAAACCTTATATCAGGTTCAAGAATGAACCCTCATGCTCAAATATACTGGTTCTTTATATTGTCAAAAAATACTTATTTGCCAGCTGTGCATAAATTAGGTGTTTGTGTTTGTAAAAGTTTTACATGAAAATTGTAAGATTAAAATCTTGATCGATATGCACCAGACACCACATCACATGACAGTTTTAGGCTCACTGATGTGAATGTAAATTGAAACATATATTGAGTCTTCATCCACCTGTTGCTTATAAAATAGAAATGAGTGCATAATGGATTTTGAAAGAGTGTTAATTTTCCAAACAAGGTACAATACAAAATTTTCCGTACACCATACTGTATGTACCAACACAAATTAGCACATTTTTATACATATAATGTGTGTGGTGGGACCAAATACTATATACAGTGTGGCTTTTTCTTTATCAGATGTAGATATTAGTGAATGTTTTGCTCATCAACAGAAACTTTTAATAAAAAGAATTAAAAAAAAAAGCACAAAGCCATGTTACATGTAATACATGTAAATCACCAGGAAGTTCAGGGAGAAATGACTTGTGTGAGTTCTGAATTTAGTGTCATATTCAAAACACTCTTTCCAGTGCTGGAAAGAAAAACATCTGAAGTGACACTTTTACTGCCAGAAAAACAGCAGTGGACTTGAACAGTTCAACATTGATTCTCATGTTACTATTAAGTAACATGTATTACATATGAAGTAATACTCCTAGCTTTTATAAAACTAATTATTTTCTGTTTTTGTTGAGACTGCCAGAGAAGTATTATTTTCCTGGTTGTAGTTTGTGGTGTTGGTGTGGTGGATTGTGTTATGTAATAATATACGGGAAAGTTGACAGTGAGGCCACGGTGCATTTTACTGCACGAATATTAGTGAACACCTTTCAGAACATGGTCAAATAACATCTGCGCAGAAATCACTTAATTAATCACTTTCAGTATCTTGCATGGCTGGATCAGTTCCCCATCTGACAATTTTATTTTCCCTTTTTTTAGTCGGAACAAGGGCCATCTCACTCTGTCGGTTGTAATCGTGGACATTTTACATCTATTCATTTACATTTACATTCATTTAGCTCACGCTTACAATTGCTATACATGTCAGAGGTCGCACGTCTCTGGAGCAACTAGGGGTTAAATGTCTTGCTCAGGGACACAATGGTGAACGTCTCACAGTGGGAATCGAACCCAGGTCTCCCACACCAAAGGCAAGCATCTTATCTATGCCCCATCACCACCCCCAAGTTACGAGTCACACCCTAAAAAACACCCAGTCATAGATTATACCAAAAGCAAAATGAGTCCAGGGTACTGTATCTTGTGACTGTCCATATTTTAAAAGCTGATTCTCTCTTCAAAAAGCGACAGCACCAACAGAATACCCCACCCGGTCAGAAGGCCGACATTCTGCACCAGAAAAATCAACCAGGGTCTCTTGTTGCTGATGTGGACCATGGTGGGCAGCTAGAAGGAGAAAGAGGAGAGATGGAAGTTAGAGATTAAACATGCACATCTTATCAGTTGATACTTGATCATATTTTGATGTCACAGTTCTGTAAGCACGCAAACTCACCATATCAGCCAGTCCCACATACAGGAAGAGTCCTGCAGTAATGGCAGCTATCCACTGTTGGGTTGCGACATCAGTGGCTACAGACAGAGCGATGTACAGGCCGATGAACGAGGTCAAGGCGCTGCTGACGTTTAAAAGCAACGCCTTGCGGACAGATATACCACAGTGGAGCAAAATGGCAAAATCACCTGGAGAAAAACAAGACGATGTTAAGAAATCTTTAATGAAAGATAGCAGACAATGTCTACTTTTGTGTCTTATGTGTGTTCTTTACCCACTTTGAGATTTGCTTCAAATTTAAAGTGCATTATTATTATTATTATTACCCAGTTCATGTGGTAGTTCATGGCAGAGTACAGCTAGTGATGTGGCCAGACCAGACTTCCATGACAGGGAGAAAGCTGCGCCCATCGCTAAGCCGTCTGCAAAATTGTGGATGCCGTCACCGATAGTTATCATATAAGGCACCAGACGCTGTTCTGTAGAGGCAGGCAAAGTAATAGTTAGCGGTGGAGCAGCCACGACGATTACCACAATTTGATGGTAGTACGCCTATGTTTGTGTTGGAGATAACTTTACTCGCCTCTGCTGCGCTCCTTCGGCACTGAAAGTGAATTCTCACTGTCATGACCAACCTGAAATGTACACACGCAAACCATTCATTAACAAGTCCTGTTATTGACATAAAATGTGTCTTTGGACACAGCTTTACAGTTTCAAGTTTTTACAAACTATTAGCTGAAGTAGCTGAGGGTTTCTGACACACAGGCAACTTATAACCAATTTACATTGTTCACAGATTTAGTGGATTCCAGCAAATGCTACAGGGTCTTTTTATTTCCAGTTGTGATTAGTATTCCACCTTAAACGTCCCACTGTTAATGTGTGTATGTTTCTCACCAGGTCTGCTTTTGATGCTGACTGTGATTTGTCTTTTTGTTTCCTTTCCTGTTGATACATCTCTAAAACCCTCCCGTGGTCACAGTGGTGAGGCTCTGATTCTTCCTAAACAGTGAGACAAAAGCAATGAAAACAAAGACAAAAAGATCTTGAAAAAGAAGAACTTAATGAAATACAGTACTGTGTAGCATATTGGGCAGGTAAAAGATTGTGAAATTCACCTAGATGCAGTACAGATCATTTTTAATTCAGACATAATCTGCACACACTGCTGCACATTTTAGAAAACAAGATTGAGATAAAGACAGAATACGATGTAAGATTTTGAATGCGAAACAGCAGATTTAAGGAAAATTTTCTTTCTCCTGGGTTGATTTTTTTTGCATTGTGTGTCTGTTTTGCACAATTCTTAGCCAACCTTTCTTTGCAAGATTTAGTTGTGCAAATTAAGGACAAACACAATTTTTTTAAATGATCAGAACCTAGTGTGATAGGTTCCCATAATTTCAAATGTTACAAATTGTATGTGTTCATCGGTATGGGTTTGGTATTTTTTCCTCTTACCCCATGATGATGTTGATGGTGGTGATGATTGTCTTTAAATGTGATCAGAGAGAAGATCGTTTCCATCAGGTAAAAGTAGTAGATCCCGGCAATCACCACCAGCATCTTGTAAATGTAGTCTGGGATTTCCACATTGTGACTGTCATGGGAATGCTTATGGCCGCCCGTGTCGTCATGTAAACCTAGAAACTGGACACACACAGGCCACAAAGACACTTCAAAATGAGTATATGCTGCAAGTAAATCATCATGATAAAACTGATAACTCCTGGTGGCCTAGTGGTTATGAAGTATACAGTATAACTGCAATGTGCTCAAACCAGAGCTAAAAGCTAAGTGAACAATGGACTTGTAATAAAGGCATTAAGGCATTATTTGGCCTTTTCCCTTTCCTTTATTGTGTTATATATCTTTTTTGTGCATGTAATAGGTTTGCAAAGTAAAAAGCCTAAATCCACCACAAAGGGAGTAATCATCTCCCACAGAAAACACTGCTTGATTGTAGTCCAGTCTTTACTTGCTTCACCTATATGTGTCACTTTGTAACACGAGTAATAATTACGGGTGTGATGAGATCTTGTGTCACAAGATCTCACGAGATTTAATTGTGACGAGATTTCTCGTCAGGTAAAAAGCTGTCTCGCGAGACTCACTCAATTGACATTTTTCACATGCTGTCAAGCCACACATTAATTTTCTCACGCAGTGAAATACAAATAAATAGCTGATAACATAGTCTCGCGGAGCTAATCAACTCCGCCCTGGCCGATGCCAAATCGGCGTACACCTTGATATTTATTAACTGAACCCGCTTACGCTCTATGTCCAGACAGCTGTGAAGAGTGGTAATGAAGCTGGTAGAGTTTTGCAACATAAACATCTAAATTCTGAGGCGCAACCTTGCTCTGTTTGGGACTGTAAGCACTTTATGAGTTGCTGAAGTTAACGTGTGTGTATGGATTTGTTGTGAGATTTCTGCCTGATCAGAAGTGTTTCAGTTACTTTTGGTTTCACAGGCAACATGCAGTGCCAAACTGCGTCACTCAAATGGGCTGAAGGGCATAATAAAACACAACGAGGTAGGAAGATTAAATCATGACCCAGCAGGGATGATATTACAGGAAAAAAGTTGATCTACAGGAGAAATATCTGATAGCAGCACAGAATAGCCGAGAGCTACACTAACTTAGATTCTGTTATAGTTGGGCTTTAGAGTTTGAATTGTCACCTGTCATGTGAATTTTGTGTTTCTCTTTACATAAATAAAAAAAATAAACTGGTGCATAAAAAGTCACCAGAATGCTGGAAATAAAGTGTTTAATACTAAAATTTTTAATATGATTCAGCATTAAAGATTTCCTAAAAGTAGTGGTAAAATATCCTCTCATCTCAATCTTGTGAACCCAATCTCGGATCTAGTCCTGTCTCATGGGTTAAGTGTCTCGTCACACCCCTAGTAATGCTCAGAAAATAATGCTCAGCTAGCATCTAGTCCGACATGCCCTCAAAAACACTGGTGGAGAAACACACTGAGCTTCAACACACAGCTACATGACGTCCACCAGCTGCCTCCCCTCACCCCACGCCCCTACCGAACATTAGATACCCTCCAGGCAGTCAACGGACATAAAGTTGTTACTGTTATGTAGAGACAGTGCACAGTTATAACGTTATGTATGAAAGATAAATTTGTCACAAATTAATAACTCACCACTCTGAAACATCTTGCTCCAGTCTAGGTTGCGAAGCTGGTTTGGGTTGTTCTGCCTGTACAGGCTGAATCAGCTTTGCTTTGGATCACACTACCTTGCTTGTCAGGACCCGCCCTACTCTGCTTTTGATTGGCTAGTAGTCCTTACCTAGGTACTGCGCATGTACAACTACAGGCCCTAAATAAAATTATGAACCTGAAAATGAGCCTAATATGACCTTTTTAGGAAAGCCATTACAATTTTACTAAACTCCAGGCGGCTTTCGGTTCCATGGTATCAAAAGTATTGCTTGTTAAAGTGTTAAAATCACTCACCGTGGGTACCAGGTGCAACAAGGCATCTCCAGTGAGTGAACCTACAGCGAGGCCTATGCAGAGCTGGATACACATCTGGAACATACTGGTACAGGAAGTACACAGGAGCAACACAATGCCAAACATGGAAATCAGAGTTATCACCACGTTGGCAATGGTTGCATAGAGGTATCCTAGAAGAGAAAGAGAGAAAAGAGAAAATGGGGGTGGAGGTTCAAAAAACACCTGTGCATCCAGATATCCAGATGAAGTAATCAAATATACATTTAGGTATAATTACGCTGGCTTTACATGCTAGCTATTACTCTTTTGCAACAATATATAGCACAAAAACGCATATGAAGAAAAATGAATGGAAAGTTCTGCCATGATAAACGTGACCAAGACCTCATGAGTCATTTGTTCTTAATTTCTTCAGCAACAGGTCAGTCTTTCAAAATCACAATCACTTACTCTCTGTCACAGTGAGCCTATCTGGTTTCAGTGGTTCAGTGGTGACGTCTGTACAGGCTCCACTCAGGATCTGCTGGACAAGTGCAGGGCTGAGCAGAGCCAAGTCAGACCGACCCAGGGCGGAGGAGTTAGAGCTGTTGTCTGCCAGACCATAGATCAGGACCAGCTCTTCAGCCGAGAAACAGAGCTGGGAGAAAGGAAAGTGAAACATTTAAGCACAAATTGGTTATCTGTTAAAAGTGAGGCACAGATGTTTTCTGTAAAGATTAATGAAAACAAGGACATTTGCTTATAATTATGATAATTTTGTTAAAGTACAGTGTTCATTCTGCGGCGAAAGGAAACTTGGAACAACTGCAGATACTGAGATACTGCCTAAACATATTCTGTAAGTAAAATGGTTTAAATGCTATCTCTGCCTTGTATAAGTGAAATATCTGTTTTATCACTGTAAAGAACACATTTGTTACCTACTAATTATAACATTTAAGATAACTTAAAGCTTGATGCTATTTGGTCTATATTTACAGGTGCTGGTCATATAATTAGAATATCATCAAAAAGTTGATTTATTTCAGTAATTCCATTCAAAAAGTGAAACTTGGATGTTATATTCATTCATTACACATTCATTCATTACACACAGACTTATATATTTCAAGTGTTTATTTAATTTAATTGTGATGATTAAAACTGACAACTAGTGAAAATCCCAAATTCAGTATCTCTAAAAATTAGAATATTACTTAAGACCAATACAAATAAAGGATTTTTAGAAATGTTGGCCAACTGAAAAGTATGAACATGAAAAGTATGAGCATGTACAGCACTCAATACTTAGTTGGGGCTCCTTTCGCCTGAATTACTGCAGCAATGCGGCGTGGCATGGAGTCGATCAGTCTGTGGCACTGCTCAGGTGTTATGAGAGCCCAGGTTGCTCTAATAGTGGCCTTCAGCTCTTCTGCATTGTTGGGTCTGGCGTATCGCATCTTCCTCTTCACAATACCCCATACATTTTCTATAGGGTTAAGGTCAGGCGAGTTTGTTGGCCAATTAAGAACAGGGATACCATGGTCCTTAAACCAGGTACTGGTAGCTTTGGCACTTTGTGCAGGTGCCAAGTCCTGTTGCATCTCCATAAAGTTGGTCAGCAGCAGGAAGCATGAAGTGCTCTAAAACCTCCTGGTTGCGTTGACCTTGGACCTCAGAAAACACAGTGGACCAACACCAGCAGATGATATGGCACCCCAAACCATCACTGACTGTGGAAACTTTACACTGGACTTCAAGCAACGTGGATTCTGTGCCTCTCCTCTCTTCCTCCAGACTCTGGGACCTTGATTTCCAAAGGAAATGCAAAATTTACTTTCATCAGAGAACATAACTTTGGACCACTCAGCAGTAGTCCAGTCCTTTTTGTCGTTAGCCCAGGCGAGACGCTTCTGACGCTGTGTCTTGTTCAAGAGTGGCTTGACACAAGGAATGCGACAGCTGAAACTCATGTCTTGCATACATCTGTGCGTGGTGGTTCTTGAAGCACTGACTCCAGCTGTAGTCCACTCTGTGAATCTCCCCCACATTTTGGAATGGGTTTTGTTTCACAATCCTCTCCAGGGTGCGGTTATCCCTATTGCTTGTACACTTTTTTCTACCACATCTTTTCCTTCCCTTCGCCTCTCTATGAATGTGCTTGGACACAGAGCTCTGTGAACAGCCAGCCTCTTTAGCAATGACCTTTTGTGTCTTGACCTCCTTTTGGACAGCTGTCAAGTCAGCAGTCTTCCCCATGATTGTGTAGCCTACAGAACTAGACTGAGAGACCATTTAAAGGCCTTTGCAGGTGTTTTGAGTTAATTGGCTGATGAGTGTGGCACCAGGTGTCTTCAATATTGACCCTTTTCAAAATATTCTAATTTTCTGAGATACTGATTTGGGGGTTTTCATTAGTTGTCAGTTATAATTATCAAAATTAAAAGGAATGAACACTTGAAATATATCAGTCTGTATGGAATGAATGTATACATTATACAAGTTTCACTTTTTGAATGGAATTACTGAATTTTTAGAATTTTGATGATATTCTAATTATATGACCAGCACCTGTATACTTCTGGTCAAGCGACCAATCAGGCATTTATATAGCTATTCAATAAATGTATGTGTAAGTGTCGACAGTGTGCAGGAGCTTATTTTTGTTACTTTGCCTCATCACTTCTCTTGTACACCTGCCTAAATACTGGTTTAAAAATATATTTCTTTTTTTGTGTGTTGGTATGTATACCCCATCCCAGGTGGTGTTTCTATCATGCCCCTCGTGAAGTTCAGGGCTGCTCCTTTTCCTCCGTTTTAAACCACTATGATCATGATCAGCGTGTTCCTCTTCGTGATGGTCATGTTCGTGGGCCTCCGGGACAGGTCCAAGGTTTAGACTCCTCATGAAAGCCTCCAAATCTACAGGACACAAACACAACCTACACTTGAGCAAAACAACAATGTTTTTTTCAGTTGCAAGTGTTGAGAACATGACTAACTTTTCCTTAAGTTACTCGAAAGAAAATCACTTGACACTTAATATTTGCAGACAAAATAACTATAGTTTTTAAAGTGGTTAAAGGTTACAGGGTCGAAGTTTCTGAGTGATGAATCTCTCTGCAGCTCTGTCTCTGCATGTATCTGCGTCCATGCATTTGTTGTGTTTTCTGAAAGACATTTTACCCCCGACGGTGAAATTCTCTGACCCCACACGGTCCACGATGTAGTCCAGGAAAAAGCTCTCCTCAGGCAGAGACCGGCTAATGAAGCAGTGACCTTGCAAGGCGTGATACAGGACGCGGGCCAAAACTGCACCTGCTTCCTGCCGCTGGTGTGGCGTTGATGTGTTGACCTCTGTCATGATGTCACTGGCTGTGACACAGTTCTGGTTGACATGGTGATAAGGGGGAGGACGGACAAAGAGAAAGGGTATGGGTGTGAAAAAAAGAGAGTTTTAATCACTGACTCAACCATTTTGATAATAGATTTAAGTCACTTTTCAAACTTCTAATTGTGAGGATTTTATGCTTTTTTGTCTTTATGTGATTATAAAGTGAATATCTTGGCATCCTGGATTGTTTGATTGCTCTTATTGACTGGCTTTTAGTTTTTAAATGAAATGATTGCCAGATAACTGAATATAACTATGGTATATTTAGGTGATAATAATAATAGGTTTGGGAAAGTGCTGCAGTTGTGTATGTTAATGCCTTAAGTATATTGGTTAAGTTATTTGTCAAACTTGTTAATGCTGGTTTCAGAAACACTCATTTGAACATGTGGAGTCTTGTCCTTATTTTGCTTCAACTATTTAAAAAATAAATAAATAAATACGGGACTACAGACAGCAGGACAGAGACATTTAAATACTTGCTGCAATGAAATGCTGGAGCTAATTTACATTTCTTTGGTTTGATTTCTGACATTACTTTTTGTGCCTCACAATATGGCAGTACCAAAGATTTGAAGAGGGCATGACAATTGCTGCAGTGATGAGGCTGTGAGTACAGAAGATCTACTGCTGGCATCACCCAAGTATGATAAGATATGTTGAGTGATAAAAACTGCCACGATCACAGTAAAACATACCAGGAAGGAAAAATACCACTCTAAGCAAAACATGATTGGTGTATTTATGTAATAAATTAATATTGTCATGGAGCAAGGAGGATCATAAACTGTCTCCTTGGTTACTGAAAAAGCAAATTATCATGCCCATTTTGGCGGTGGCACGTCATCACAGACGTGTGACAAGCAATTTACGTAAAGAGTGGCATTTTCTTCTCAAATAGTTTAACTTGAGTAAGTTGTGGAAATGTAAACCTTTAGTAATTGACAGGAAAAATGCAAAGTTGGAAAAAATCAACAAGATTTTCTGAAGCACTATTGTTTTGTTTTCTCCTTTGCTATCTAGTCATATGACCCAGACTGCAGTTGTGGTCTTAGGCTTACCTCACTGTCTGAGGGCTCATAGTGGTCGTGAAGCTCTTGAAGCAGCACTTTTAATCCATCAGCGTCTGTGTGCTCGTGTTCATGTGTGATTTTGTGCAGGAAATGTTCGGTCTCCTCTCCCCATCTCCCCTGGCGTGTGGCGGTGCAAGCCAGGCTGGGAGAGACAACGTACAGGACACATCCGGCAGCGAGAGCGGGGAACTGAGACACGCTGATGGTGACATCTTTCCCACCCTTTCCAGTTTCATCCCCTCCATGGGTGGAGTGATAGCTGATCAGCTGGTGAACGGCATCTGTCAGATCACACTATGCAAAGCATTCACACATAGAGGAAAGCATACATACAGATAATTAATACAATCATTTTCACGCAACGACAGCCTCATAAGCTTGATTCACTTCTATAAAACAGATACTGCTACACGTTCATATCACTTCCTTTTGGTTATATTCAACCAAATACAAGGTTAGATTAATTTAGAAATAGGAACATGCACATTGCATTAACAGCAACCTATAGTATAATAAGCTGCTTTTATTGCCTTTTATTAGAGATGACTTCTTCTGATAACAAGGGGAGGGAAGTAGGCCACAATATAAAGAGCACCATAAAATGCTGACAACGATTGATCCTGACTCAGAAACTATGACAGGAGGAAAGGTTAAAAAATATACCCGTTCTGTTAGTTTGACAGAGATGTGAGGATGTGGGTTGTCTTAAACTTTAAGATACAAATGTCTTTTTTCAAAACTTTGAGCAAATTTCATTTAGTCCACTGTATTGGAATGGCGGTAAAGGAAAGACTGATATCTCAGAAATATGAGCACATAAAACCAAAACTATCTGCATGACTACACACCAGAAGAGGTACATGAGAAAATACCTTTGATGTAATTTGAGTGAACTGACCCATTAAACTGTCACAACAGGAAACGAAGCTGTGAACTGATAAGGTCAAACTGTACGGACTCCTTGACATCTGGCAAGAACTTAAAGACTTTTACTGTGGTTCAGATGAGGTTTATTATTTTATTGATCTTCTTGCAATTTTAAATGATCTGTTATAACACTTGTATACTTGTAACTATGGGGGAGTTATATTTACAGGCCTTTTTTGCTTCACTTTCACTGCTTCATTGATATCAGTTCTTTATTAGCAAAATGAAGCATCAACTAAAGCTGTTTTTTCTTATCATCTCTATACTTTTTGTCCATTCATATAGATTACAGCTAACTTAACCAGGGACTCTCATTCACACTGATAATGTGGTTTTGTTGAAACTGCCTGTTAACAGTGCCCTCAATGAGTTAAAGTACCAAACACCTCTAGTCATGTTAAGAAAGGCTAAATGCCCCACACTATCCTCAACCTCAAGGTGAAAATTGTAAATATTATAACATTAAATACAAAGTAAAACATTAGTATAATATTAATATATGTATTTACAGGTCACACTTTATTTGGATAGTCTGCCTGCCTGTCATTCATTACATTATTGTGCAAGAAAAATGCTCTAAATGGTAGTTAATCACTGATTTGTTAATTCTTAGTATTAACTTGTCATAATAATAAACATTCTTGTAGAGCAACGAGTTCAACATTTCAAATGTTTGCTAATTGCATCACTTTGTGTTGTAAAGTGGTGAAGACATAAGGGCTCAGATTAGGGGTGTGGCAGCATATTTAGATCACGAGAACAAGATGAGAAGATATTTTAACAGTATTTTGAATAAATATTCAATGCTGAAATACATCAGTGGGGTGTTCTGGCGGTCCTCCCCCAGAAGAAGCATCAAACACTTAATTTCCTGCATTCTGGAGACATTTTCTGCACCAATTTATGGTGGAAATGTCTTTATTTATATGAAGGGAAACAAAATGAAGGAGGCAGGTGACAATTCAAAATATAAAATTATAATGGAATATAATACAGTAACCAGCTTTTAGACAATGCATTTGTTTCTTCTTTATTTGAGTTGCATTGCATGCTTTCTTATTGTGCATTGTTTCATTTGTTATTTAACATTTCTCACTGCAAGCTGTTTTTCAGAACATTTGTAACAAAAGCTTTCAAAAAGTGATGGAGACATTCTGACTCTGATTTGTCCCCAGCGTCCGTTCAGTATTTTTAAATGTCCCGCCCCATCCAGGCTGTGATTGGTCGGTTCACGACAAGTGACATTGACGAGCTACATTCAGCACACGGCTGTTTGAAAGGCACCCGAGCTTCTCTTCTCACTCGTCTCTCTCCACCGACAGAGTTAATCAGGCAGGCGAGAACGGGAACAGGTGAGCGCCACGTAGCGCCCAGAGAAGATATGGAGAGGGCAGAGGAGAGTACCGGTGTTCTGACGATATATGCTGCCTTGTCGAAAAATGCTACCGTAGAGCAAATTGATAGCAGAGTCTATGGAGTCGCTCTGCCTTATCGAAAAATGCTACCTTATGTGTTCCCATTTCCAATCTTATAAAGTTATAACTCTCACAGTATTACGACATCTTCTGTTTAAAAAAAAAAATTATATTATTATTATTATTATAATATAATTTCAGGGGTAGCGTATTCAAATAGACTAATATCCCCTATCAAAGAATGCTCCCATTACAGAATAATTTCATATTGCACCACTACTCACTCCATGTGTACTGTAAGGAGATGGGGAGCATGTTGAAATAGGCTACTATATTATGCCATCTTTATTTAAGATATCGGAGGTAGCGTTTCTGATAAGACTGCTAATGATTATATTCAGGGGCGCCCATGACAAAAAAATCTAATTGGACCCCCTCTGCGCAGCTGTTGTCACCACTTCTCTAGGACTTAACTGTCCCATCAAAAACTGTACATAACTCTAATTAAAGGCTTGCAAGTGTCTGGCTTCTTGTAGTTCAATATTATTACTAGTACAATATTTATTTACTGCTGGTGATTTGTACATGCAATACAGGATGCAGTTCACTATTTGCGTCTCAAATAAATTGCCCTTCATGATGGGAATAATAAAGTATGTATCTATAGATGTCATTAATGGCCATAATTCAATCTAAATGAACGTATCAAACTGGATTATTTTAATATAGTCTGTAACTTACATGCAGGCTGAGGTAAACTGCTGTCCAGCATCCAGTACAGATAGGAAGTTTTTATTTTATTTTATTTATTTCATAATGATCATAATGTGAGAAAATACTTTGTGTTTGAATTTCTGTCATTCAGAAATATATCATTGTCTTTTTTTTATGGTAAAAAGAGCTAGAGAGACAGAGAAATCCCCACAGACTCCCTGGCATGATGCTAACTGGCATGTCATTCACACAGTGTTGCTCAGCTTCTTCACTGGGACAGGGAGGCTACAGTTACGGGGAGACTGGGGTACTGCTGACTCATCTGTTGTTAGTCTACTAAAAGGGGCAGGGACAGTGATTTAATATGAACATCTTGCTAAACGTTTTCCTGCACTGATTAAAGTTGATGAAATGTAGGCTAACACTAGTCTGTTGCTTATTTCACTGTGGACATTGAGCCAACAGGTTAAAACCACTCACAGACTAAAGGCTACCCACCTTTCTTGGGGAAAAACTGAGATACAGATTGACATAAAGTCCTTTGTCTTTCTCTTTTTTCTCTCTTTCCTTTTTTGAAAACCAGATTTTGGTTTACTATGCAACATTGTGATCACGGTATTTCTGGCGCATCTCCTGACTGCAACTAAACACCGTCACTGATGTGTGCGCAGGACCAAACCATTTCATGCAGATACAGAGGGGTGGTCGGTCAATATGGAGGTTTCTTTTTGGTCAATAGGGATTTTTAACTTTTACTGCCAAAAACAAGTAAAAGCAAAGAGATCATTCATTTTATTATTATATTTGAAATATAGCCTATTTATACTCAATGATGATGGTTTATCTAATGTATAATATAATATAATTTGATATTAGTTTCTAATTATTGATTATGATTATATTTTCCTGACGATCAACCACTGCCTCGACGGCATGTTGCAGCAATGTTGCACAGATTTATGGGCATGGAAACAGACCACGCTTGTTGGTCATGTGCATGCGCAGAACCATTTAGCACATATCCATAGATATCATAAATCGACAGAACACCAGCAACTTGTGAGATGTCCCATTGCAAGAAAATGTCCCAGTACGCCAAAGAGTAAAATGTGAAGGTGCCTACGTTCTGGCCCACTTCAAGCACTGCCTCCATTGACTTAGCAATCAAATAATGCAAATAATTTATAGATTATTAAAATGGAAAAAAGTTGCAATGTGCAAATTACTTGTCCAGAATAAATGGAATTAAGACAGTATGAGTTAACTAACAAACCTAATAATAAAAATAATAATGTTGTGAGAATACTTACTAAAAAAGAAGCCTATTACATGATGCAGTCACTAGTTATTTTCTTGGCTTTCCAGATTTATGACTGAGTCTGTGTTATAGCCTACTCTGGTCACACCTGGTGATTAAATTCAACTGGACTTCACAAGATTAAAGTCCACTAGGCCTAAATATTTCAGAAACAGAAAAATCCTTCATTGTGAAAGGTGCGCACTGCACACAAAATATCAAAAACAACTCAGGAGGCTAATTATAACAAAAGAAAAATTAGATAGCTTCTATGGTATTTGTAATTAAATAAATACAATTTAGACTCTGGTTGGAATCCAGACTGACAAAATTAGCATGTTGGAGATTATTCACCGTTTCCTGATTTTACTTGACTTTAATTTTCTTTTAACCCTATTTTAATTCCTTTAAAAAATGTTTATCTTGTTTGTCTGTTTTTTCGTTTAAAACCTGATGGTTTTTATGATTTGTGTGTTTAATTTTTCTGCCCTACATGGATTTTAAAAAGTGTTCTATAAATAAAGATTATTGTTACTAGACCTATAGTCTATTAATTGTACGTCAGTAAATAATGAAATGATAATGTCTAGCCTAACCTTGTGATCTTTTTGTTTTGTAATTAGGCCTTTAACATTTAAGACATCCAGTTTACCGATGTGACCATACATGAAGAGCTGGTTAATAACTTTTGGACCTCGACCTCTCTCTCCGCAGCGCCTGCAGCTCGCCACCCGGCACTGAAACTGGCTGCGGAGACCTAATAAAACTTACCTTTTCACACGACACTTCACCGCACTGCACACGTTTCTCCAGTGTATTAAAGAGGGAGCGAAGTGACTCCTCGGTCAGATGCTGCTGTCCCGGAGACACGACGCTGACCACAGCCCCGTACGCTTCCTCCACAGCGGGAGAACCCGAAACAGAACCGAACAAACCGCAACTGGCAAGAATCAGCAGCGCGGAGAAAAACATCTCAACAGTTTCCTTAAAATCTACTTTTATATACTAAGAATTGATTAATTTAAAAGGGAAAAGACACAAAATATACACATAGAGTCTGATACAGTCCCAATGTATTTCTACAGACACATTGAGCTGTATAGAGCTCAGCTCACAGCTGTTATCAGTTTAAAACCACTGCATCGTCACTGGGCCCGCATTGTGATTGGCCGAGACGTGGCTGATGCTGTCCTATACCTGTCTGTGAAAACCTTGGTCACCTGTACAGGCCATAGAAGTCCTCCACAACACACATCCGCATAGGCTATAAAATCAGACTTCAAGATTGATTCGTTATAGCCATATGGGCTATTTGGCTTCTAATTGGAAACCGGGATACTGTGCTATATAAACACCGTATCCAAATTCAGGACACTGTTTTGATCATCTAAACAGACATATGAATAACCAGGTTTCTCATGTTCCATGTAAACGCTTCATTCTGAATATGATCAGAAGCAGTAGCCTTGGTATAAGACAAAACCAGTATAAGACTCAAAAACAATGTTTAGTTCTCACCATTTGAAGAAGACAGAGTAGATAAATCTGAAAAATAAAAAAGTTATTTTTAAATTATCTTTATTTAGAGTCAAACTTCTATCATCATTCTATCTCTGGATTCATCTGCATCTTTGCTCCAATGGTCTTCTGTTCTAAAAATGTCCCAGAGATTTTGGATTATTGACCCGCACCTTTGGCAGGAACTACTACGGACGTCGCTGATTTTATCAAAAGGAGTTTGATTGTCGAATTGATTGTCTTATCCAATGAGGAGAGACCATGTAAATGTGGATAACGTTGTTTAAGTTTATCAATACCGTAACTCTGCTCAGCAAATATAATAATGTCAGAAGTGAAAGTGATGTCAATTGAAAATGTCCTCGCAGGGAATGAGGCAGCAGAGAGTGTCAGATTTATGATTCTTCCTTCTTGTGTCTCTGTTTGCAGTCTCACAATGTGCAGCTCAAGTTTTATTTCGTATATGCGTCGCCCTCTAAGGCTATCACTATTGAGTTTATCCCTTCCGCGCGCCTGCGCAGCACTGAGAATTTTTCGTCTAAGCCTAGGGCCTCTCCTACGTCCGCACCTTGTATGTATACATCGGTGAGACCCAGCCTTCGGCTCCCTATTTTCTTCAGCACTGAGCTTGAAGTCTAAAGAGCATAGAAGACAAAAGAGAAGAAAAAGAGTAATCTGCCGCAGCGAGAAGAACAATGTCTTCCTACCTGCTGGCTAGAGTGGGACGAGGCGATGCCACTTCCGTCCGGCTGTGCGAGGTCTGCAAGACGGGCTTCATCCTGCCGGGGGATCTCCATCCCTGTTGTGAGGCTTGTCTCGCCGGGCGGGCACTCACCTCCGAGTCACGCTGCCTGTACTGCGCTCTCCTCTTCTCCAAGGAGCGTCAACGCCCGGCGGATAACTTCACTGTCCTCGACGAGGAAGTGTGGCAGCCCACACACTCGCTGGACAAAGTGATGGGGATGCTGTTGCCGTAAGAGCAGGAGTAGGACTCCTCCACCCTCTCCCCCCACAGGTCCCCCAGTCGCTCTCCTCTTTTCCCGTTCCAGCCTTCAGAGAACATCGACCAGGAATCTGGCCTTCATGAGGGCAATCCCAGCCTCGAGGGGGCTCCTGCCTATGTATGCCTCCGCCCGCTGCCACCTGCTCGTTCCCCAGGCCCAGGAGTTCGCCCCACCGGATGAAATGGCTGGTGTTCTCGCCCTTAGCCAGCCGGTTAAGCGAGATCCGGTCTGGCCGTGCTTCCCCCCCATTAAGCGGTACCAAGAGGGTGCTGCCATGGACCCGAAGATTCTCCGTGCCCCGGTCTCCACCTACGCTCCCATCACTAAGGTGGAGGGGTTCTCGGATCAGGGGGCTGGCATTCAGTACGATTAAAACCTACACTGCAGCCGTTTCGTCCTGTCACGAGGGCTTCAGGGACACTGCCCCAAAGTGGGATTTGCTACTGTTTTTAGGCGCGCTAACCCCCCCGTTTGAGCCGGTGGACCTGAGGTTCCTTTCGGCTAAGGTTGCCTTGCTCCTGGCTCTGACCTCAGCCAAGAGGGTCAGCGATCTGGCTGCCCTCTCTGTGGCTCCGTCGTGCCTCCGGATTCAGGGCGACGGCTGCTCAGCTATCCTGCGCCCTAACCCGACATTCATGCCTAAAAACATTACGAGCTCCTTTCGGTTGCGGGTCATCACCCTCTCGTGCTCTTTCGTCCATTTCTACCTGCAGGATGTCTCCCGTCTCTCTCTGACTCACTGAGTGTTTTGGCTGAGTGATCCTCCTTGTGAGTGTGCGGTGTGCCCTCTCCCACCGGACGGTGTGTTGGGGGGGCGGCCGCTGCTTACGTGGCCCTACCTTGGGCGCAGCTGACGTGGTTGCTGTCGTGACCCTGCCTGCGTCTGTACAGCTGTGGGGCCCCCCTCTCGGTTTCCCGTCTTACGCATGGGTCAGCCCTAGGCCTCCCATGCCGTGCCATTGGTGCTCGCGCGCACGCCGACACCACTGCCGCGGTCAGCGGGTGACTGGGTGGCTCATTATGGGTCTGGGCAGGTGAGTTGTGCTTGGTGGTACTGTATGGGCCAGTGAGGCGTTGACTCATCCTGCTTCGCCTCTAACCCAATAGCGATAGCCTTAGAGTGCGAAGCCTATACGAAATAGAACGGGGGTTACATACTGTAACCCGTATTCTAAGAGTATAGGCGCAGCCCTCTAAGTTGTGGGCCTCACTGGACCTTGGTTGTCAGTGCTGAAGAAAAGGCATTTGGGAGCCGAAGGCTGGGTCTCACCATTATATATACAAGGTACAGACGTAGGAGAGGCCCACACTGTGGGTGGGCGTAGACTAAAATTCTCAGTGCCACGCAGGCGCACGGAAGGGGTAAACCCAATAGCGATAGCCTTAGAGGGCTTCGCCTATACTCATAGAATCTGGGTTACAGTACGTAACCCCCGTTTTTCTGGCACTTCTTCCAAACCAAGATATTCTGTATGTCTAAGACGGCATAAGTATCAGCTGTCTTATTCTTGTTCCTAAGTCTTAATTGACTACTTTATGTAGCACTTTGGGTGACATATTTAGTGGGTTCATATACAACACTCACTGTTTTAGTTATATTTACATCATGATATGCCTAGGTGCTGGCCATTACATTTGGGGCAATGTTTTTTCATAGTGCCATCTACTGCTTTATGAGTTCTACCACATCTTCTCATCTTCATTCTAACATCTGTTTTGTTCCCTCAACCATTTTACCACTTTATCTGTACTTAAGTCCTTTAAGCTTTTACAGTTTGTTAGGTAGTGGGAGGTCGACTTACAGTATGCACATGGGCCTAATTTGGGGTTGTGGCAGATCTCCTGGTGCATGGTATACACGTAGAGACTTCCGATTAGTCCTGTGGAAAATGGTAGCTGACCGAAACTCAAAGCTTTGACTTGCATGTGTCCTTGGAATTCAATGGTTGCTGGCTTGTGCTACAACTGCTTCACATCCATATGAATTAGGCTGCTGAGTTACATACAGAACGTGGTATGGAGCTGTGAACTGGTTGATGAAACTTGAGGTGTAGGGATACGTGGAAGTAACTGGCTGTGAGGGCCATAGTCTGCTGTAATATTGTTATAACCAATGGATTCCATTCTGGTGAGAAGTCAGTTTCACTCCTGGCTGAGAGGAGTATTTCCCACATCTGACCTTCTTCCCCAGACTCCCTGTCAGAGTATCTTTTCTCTTGGTCAGGCTCTCTGAGGACACCACTGTGTTCATAGCTCTGTCCTTCAGCTGAATTAACTTGCTCTGTTAATGATCTGCTTTTTAAAAAATATCACAAAGACAACTCTTTGTTGTAACTCCTCCTTTGTTTGTTCACTGGGACACGATATTGACTTCCAGTAGAGCACTTTCAGTACTGTGCCGTTTGCGAAAACTGCGAAAAAAATGTTGAGTATGTTATTATCTTCTACTTTTTCCAGTAGTAACAGCCCTTCAACGATTTTGAGACAAAGGGTAATTTAGAGATTGATCTGTTATTATAAGGTAGTGTTGGATCAAAGCCAGATTTCTGTAAAAGTAGCTGAATTCAGGCTTGTTTGAGGTAGTCTGGGAACAAACCAAACAAAAAGGACAGAGACTCATGGGGGGGTGTGATACAATATCAAGCCTATTGTTCTAGGAAATAGTGGTATATTCACTCAAAATGAAGGGGAGGCATGAGGAGAGTATGGACATGAAGTCGGGAGTGTTATAGAGGCTTTTATACCTTTAACCTTCTCAATAAAATAAGCCAAAAAAGTTGTAAAGCTGTTTGCTAAGAAACCTTACAAGCTTTAAGGATTCACTAAAACCTGCTTCATAATTACAACTCCAAATTCATCCAATCCAAATCTTCTCACGTTAAACATGTTGGACTTGTTATTTTGAGACAATCCCTGTCTTAGAGAAGAAATTTAGAAGATATTTTATGAACTCAATGATGAAGTTAAAGATGGAAATACAGCATTGTCTCTGACAGCATCCTTGGTGGATAATGGGAAGTATTATGTCAATGTTCTTTTAGTATTAGCAATCACATGTACACTACCGCTAAAAGTATGTGGACATCTCCGGCTGCTAGGCCCCTTCAGTCAATTCAAGGTAAATCTTCAACTTGACAACTTTTTTTCATTTTACCTATGACAATTTAAGAAAACTAACTTTCTCAAAGAACTTTCCCAGAAGTTCACTGACCTAGATGTCAACTATAAATACTAAAGTGACAGAGGTTATTGTCTTTTGTAATGATTTAAATGGTACCTGGCACCTATTTCCAGGAAAAACGCCTAAAATAACATACCCAAAATAAATCAGTAATATCTCCTCAACCATTAGGCCTAGATGCATAGTTCTGGTCTCCTTTGAAAGGTCAGAAGCTAAGGAATATAAATCCATTGTAGATTAACATATTTGTTTTACCATTACAGACTACATGGATAATGAAATACAGAAAAAATATGATATTTTCATCCTTGCCTGGTAAAAAAAGCTTTATTTATATCCTAAGGTAGATTATAATGTGCCTGAATATCTTCTAATACACCTGGAATACAACTGTAACTGTAAA